CATGTGTTTGATAAGGGCGACATGAAACCGTCCCATACTGAGAGTAAAGTCGCGGGTATCTTGAAACACATGTCGACTAAACTACGCATGTGCGATGACACCAAAATAACTTTAGAGTGGAAAAATATATTCAGTGACAGTTCCGTGTTGATCGTGATCACCATGTAACAATTGTTGCAATCTTAGAAGTAACGGGACATTGTTTAACTTTAAAATGGCAATCACTCAAACCGTAACACACGTGATGATCACAGTCGAGTCTTGACAATTAAATGAGGGCGATTTGCGAGGGTATTTTGTACAAAATGTGTTCGTAAATCCTACTAATAGATATTTATTTTGTTCGTAAATCTTGTCCAAATTTCGTAATTTACGACATTTGCGAGCGACAGCAAGAGAACAGTATTGGTATGTTAATTTTGTGCCAGGTGACAGTCAACAACATTGAGTGTCACTTGTCTCTCCTGACTTTTTCAGTGTAAATTGCATTCAATAGTTAATTTTTACCACTTGCATCATCACCTGCGGAAAGCCTCCACTGATAGCCTACATAAATGGTACATGTACATAACGGCACAATAAGGCGCAATAAGGACAAAAGCCACAGTGCCAAAACCCAACCTTTTTGATATGTCAAAATTTTGCACTTCACATGTAGATGACAGTACAAAATTACAAATTACTTATTTGAATTTGAACTTGAGCAATATTATTGCAAAAATACTTAAAAAACTTACAAATGATTTGGGTAATAAAAACATTTTCTAGTAATTACGTGTACCCACCTCACAAAAAAATTCATTTCCCCTGAGTCCACAAAACCAGGAAATCCATGAGACTTCTTCTGAACTACTCATTTTGGCCTGTAAATTAGAAACACTATCAATGTTATTATCATAATACACCAAAGTCAGCAAAGGCATGTTTATTCTCTTAAATACAATTAGAAAAATGTATAAACTGGGGACTTTTCGACCAATCAAACAGTGTTGGTGAGTAGACAATCAGAATGAAAGTTAGGCATTTTCAGGGTTGTCAATGCTTCGATCTCATACACGATGCGATAAGCAGGTTATGGCCATAGGTTACGCATATATACTTGCAAATTCTAGAACACCCATTATTACATATGTACTGCAATTTATTTTGATTCGTCCCTGAAATCAAAATCGGTATTTCCACAACCCATATGCAAATGAGGTCTGAGAGCAAACAAAGTAGTCCCTTCAGGAGTACAGTTTTTCGGAATAAACAATATTTAGAAGTACGATATTTTCCCCTTGGGGTACATGAATATACTTGCCGAGTGAAATGAAATTTGAACAACAGTAATGGTACTTTTAGACAGTCACTTATTTTGGCTCAAACTAATTTGCATATCACCCATACAATAATGTTTACGGTATTTTCACGGTCGATATGCAAATGAACATGGTATTTTCATTGGCTAACGAACTATTTTTATTTTGTAAACCATTTTCGTCTTCTATTTTTATCCAGTTCAAATCGTTCAACAACATTTTTGCCATGTCAGGTGTACATCACATGGAATACTACGATTGGGAGAACTTAATGTATGTTGACCACCTGGAAACTGAGTTTTATAAACCTTGAAGGGCTCTCGGAAGATCCACCAGCAGTAAAATCAGCGATTACTATGCAGCCGTAACCATCAGCATCGAGATACCAGGTTTCTGCTGGCGACGTTGCGGCGTTACTCAATTCCAAATAAAAATTACCAACGCCAAAAGAGCAACATTTT